GTGGGCTCCTGCGCTGCTTCAGCCTGTTGCCGGAGTCGGCGCCACTCAGGAAGCAGGCCCCGACCTTGGCTCCATTGCCCACGCTCAGAGGTCGAAGGCTCAGGGGCACTCCCCCACCCCCTGGAGGCCCCGTCGCCTGGCTCCCTGCCAGCGCCCGGCTGGCTGGTGTCCGGCAGGGGCTTCTGCTCCCTGTCGCATTCCTCCAGTCTGGAGCTTTTTTTTTTTCTCCTTCCCGCTAGGGGAGTCTAGGATCAGAGTCAACAGACTGTCCTCTGCGCGCAGTGCCCGCGACTCTGGGGGCTCCGCTTTTCGCCACTCCTCTGGGATTCCGCCTCACAGCCCCGTCTCCCCCTGCCCGAGCCTGGGTCCCCAGGGTCTGGTCCAGGACTGGGGTTCAGAGCAGTCCGGACTGAGGCTCAGCGTCGCCGGAGGCTTTGTTTCTTCCCGCTAGGGCACATGTGTCAAACACAAGGCCCTCGGGCCAAATCCGTCCCGCCAGGCCTTGCAATGTGGCCCGAACCTCGCTGTCATCACTGTACTCCGCTGCGTTTCCATCACAATGACAGTTTATGACTGTTCAGTAAACCATTCGGCCTGCGATTTAGGCTGGATTTTAGATTTTGGCCCCTTCTCTGATTGAGTTCGACACCCCTACGCTAGGGTAATCCAGCATCAGAGTCAACATTCAGTCCTCTGCGCGCAATGTGCGCGAGACTCCGGGGGCCCTGCTTTTCGCTGCTCGCTTGGGATTCCGCCTCACAGCCCCATCTCCCCCTGCCGGAGCCTGGGTCCCCAGGGTCTGGCTCATATCTGGGGCTCAGCACTGCCGGTTCGGGGGTTCAGCCCAGGCTGGGGGTTCTATTTCCTTCCTGCTAGGGAATGCCAGGCAGCACCCAGCCCTCTCCTCCTCTCCGGCTGCGACCTCTCCACGCGCGCGTGCGTGTGAGCGCGCAGCATGTCTCCGTACCTTAGGCTTTTTTTCAGCTCCTCTGATTTTCCTTCTGGTTTTCTCTTTCCTTCTTGTTGTAGAATTTTCAGTCAGTCGACTACCTGTAGCTCTGGGTGATGTCCACTCTACGTTTTAGTTGTATTCCATTGAAATTGTTGTGTGCTGCTGTGGTTAAGTGTCTACCCGAGCAGCCATCTTGGATCCTCCTTTTTCTAAGAATTGTTTTAATAAAAATTCCGTAACTTAATTTTTACAATATCCTGTTACACATAATTATTAAAAATGAACTGCAACATTCGATAATGACTGATTTCTATAATTGTGTTACATTCATTTCCCTTTTGTGTCTTGAGCACAGATGCACCATTTCTCTCCACTAATACTAGCAGCAAATATTTTAGCAGCCAATTTCCACATCATTAGTCTTGGACTAACTTGTTTGGTGTGTGCAACAAATATTTCACTTTTGAAGAACAATAAAAATAGGTTTATCTGTGTTCCACTTATTAATTTGTGCAGTGTCTGGTAAGTTAATGTTCAAGAAAGAATATTAATTTTTCTTAAAATGTTCTATTATCTTACAATTATTACTCATTTATTTCAACCTTTTCAATTTTGCATGTCTCTATAGAAATAAACTACGTTTCAATGAAAACTGAAGCTTTTGTTTTTTTTGCAGCCCACATCAACTTTAACCTTGTTTATTTGGCCCATGTTGGCCTCTGAGTTGACATGCTTGTGCTAGAGGGTATTTTCATAGAGATTAATATTTACAACATGCTAGAGGATTAAATTCTTTAAATAAAATACAGAGATGGAGAGTCGTTACCAGGGGTTAGGGTCTAGTAAGAGGGAGAGGGTAGATGTGGCTTTGAGTTTGACTATGCAGAGGGGCAGGAGGCAGCTCTGTGGTGATGGGACAGCTCCCTGTCTTCATGGTGGTGGAGGTTACATAAAGTTGCACGTGGTAAGATTGTTCAGAAACAAAAGCATTTGGTCAAACCTGTACTATACATATATGTTTACTGTGGATACATCTATATGCAATAAAAATATAGACTATTCTAGAAGGATACCACACAGTGGTTAACTCTCAAGTTGGAGGAGTGTGCAGGGATTGAGGGTCATGTGTTCAGAGGGGACTTTTATTATATCTTCCTTTTTTAAATAGGAAGATGTATGTGTTGTTACCTAAGTAATTAAAAATTTAAGCAAAAAAAAAAAAATACAGGACAGTTCTGGAGTATTTCAGTGCAGTGGCATAAAAGATGGATTTAAAAACTGAATTTTCTTGTGTGCAAGTGTTTATATTGTAATATGGTTTTATTACTGGCTCTGTCCCTCAATGATATATTAAATCATAACCGTATTTCCAGATTAATAGCTGTTTTTAAAAATCATTTGTTTAAAGTATTACATGTCTCCTTTTCTCCCAATGACCTCTCCCTGGCCACTTCCACCCTCCAATAGATGTTTTGTCATAGTTTAAAGGCTGCAGAATGCCACTTTGTATGGATAGAACATAATTTCCTTAAGAAGCCTGGGTTAATTTATACTAGTGCTTTAACTTGTTTCCTGGTAATCAGATCTTTGTGTAAGACCTGATTATTTCCATGGGATAGATTTCTAGTTGGGATTTAACTGCTGAATCAAGGCTATATACATATAGGGCTTTTGATAACTGTTAAAGGTCTGCTTCTGACACATTCTGGAACGTAGGAGTTCCTCAGAGCTCAATGCAAAAATTTTTTTATGGCCTCAAAGATAGCTTTGACCCCCTCCTCGCTCCCAAATCCATTTGCAGTGACAATGCCAACCACCTTATATGTAACCTTTACTGGGTGCCAGGCTCTAAGAGCTTCACCCTCTGATGTAGTGCTTTTAGTCTCCTTCTCAGAAGAAATTGAGGCCTAAAGATGTCAGGCAGTTCAACTGGAATCAGCCCTAATAAGCAGTCAATGTGAGGTCATGAGCATTGACAACTTGGTCCCAGAATCCAGCTTGGGAGGTGCCTTTATGTATGTATGTATGTATGTATTTATTTTTAATTTATTTGAGAGAGGAAAAGAGAGAGACAGAGAGAGAAACATTGATGATGAGAGAGAATGATTGATCAGCTGCCCTTCCAACGGGGGATCAAGCCCACATCCCAGGCATGTGCCCTGACTGGGAATTGAACAATGACCTCCTAGTTTGTAGATCGATATTCAACCATGAACCACTCAAGTTGGGCAGGTGTTTTTTGTTTTTTTAATTGAGAATATCATTGGCTATAGTAACAATATATTAGTTTTAGGTATAGAACATGATGATTGTATATTTATATATATTATAAAATGATCACCACAATAAGTCCAGTTAATATCTCTCACCACACATAGCATTTTTTGTGTGTGATGAAAACTTTTAAGACCGACCCTTTCTAATGCACAGGTCTTTCATTTCTTTGGTTAAATTTATGCCTACGTATTTTATTTTTTATGCAATTGATTATTGTATATTGATATCATGTCCTGAGTCTTTAGTGGTTCATTTATTCTGTCTGTGGTTTTTTTTGTTTTTGTAGGAATCTTTAGGGTCTGTGTGTGTTTGAATATACGTTTGTAATTTATATAAGTAACAAGATGGCTTTTAAAAGGTCTGAGAGAAATAACATTTTAGGAGAATAATTTACAAGTTATGTAGTTACTCATTCCTCTTGATCTTAGACGACCCTGCCAGCAGTTCTCAACCTGTGAGTCACGACCCACAGGTTGAGAACCGCTGCTGTAGAGCAGCAGTTCTTCCACAAATTCTTAAGACCATCGGAAAACACAGATATTTACGTTATGATTCATTAACAGCAGCAAAATTACAGTTATGAAGTAGCAACGAAAATAATTTTATGGTTGGGGGTCACCACAACATGAGGAACTGTATTAAAGGGTCGTGGCATTAGAAAGGTTGAGAACCACTGCTCTACACTGTAGCTGTTTGGGGATTAGACCAAAGCATCAGGAATTGAGTTCTTGTACTACTTTATTCAGAAAGTTGTAGCGAGCTGCACGTTGATGCCATTGGCCTGTATGGAGGCGCTCCTGTTTCGGAGGTGCTCCTGTTTCGGAGGCGCTCCTGTTTCGGAGCCCCTGGACCATAGTTGGCGGAGAGGTGGTGGAATGTGTTAGACTTGACCTAACAGTGTCCTCTTTACGAGGCCTCACAGGACAGGCGTCTCCCGGCTCTCAGGGCCAGGAAGATTGGCGCTCTGACGCAACTGGTCTAGTTTTTATTTACAAACCAGAATCTTTTAAATGATGTTTCTTTCTTTGTATTTCCTGCCAAGAAGCCCAGAACAAAGGAATAGCCTTATTTTCCAGCTCTTCTTTTCCTATTTGCCTTGGTTTCTTCATTTACTTTTTGGGGTTCTTTTTTTGTGTGCCCTTTTTGTAAATGACTTTAAACCAGTTTCGGTATAAGTTAAAGAATGGCTGGATGTCTGGATGAACAGGTGCATCCATCAGTAGATGGATGGATGGGATAATTGATGTATTTGTGAGGTTTTTTTGTTTGTTTGTTTGTTTGTTTTTTTAATCTTTGTGGGAAGTTTATCATTTGGAGCCCAAAAAATACAATTAATTTCATTTCTGTAAGTTTGCCTTTTAAATATTGAATGACAGTTTTGTGCCCTGGCTGTCTCTTCTTCGGGTTAAAAATCAGAAATGTTCATATGAAAGCCTGCATGTCAGACTTGGTTCCACTACACCTGAGTGGCTTTCAGTGTCCATTGGGCCAATGCATTGTCCCCACTGCTCCACTTGCCTTCCTCTGCCTCCTCAACATGTATTCTCCCAGTGCCTGTACCCTCCTCTGCTCCGACAGCCCTGATGTCCGTTCTCCAGGATCCACTTCCAAGGCCACTACTTTGCCCTGGTCCTCACCCACAGCTTCTCTGTCTATGAAGTCCAAAGATCCAGTTCCCAATCCCCCACCCCAGTGGCCTATCTTTCTAGCAATGCCTACCTTTGTCCCACTAGCATCTCAAGATATCCACACTTTTTTTTTTTTTTTTACACAACTTTTAGAAACTTTGTTTTCCATCAACCTATTTCCATTCTGTTAAGAATTTGTGGAAGAACAGCTTAGGACCACTCAGTGGCTGTTCCTACCCATTCAGTAGCCTGAGCACTGGGGGCTGCAGACCAGTCTCCAGAGGGAGGCTGAGCACTCCAGTCTTCATTAGGAAAATGCTGAATGGGTAAGAGGGCCCTGAACACCTTCAGACCAGTCTGCAACCTCAGGCTGAGCAGCAGTGAACTCGGGAGCAGTCCCTTCACCCTGAAACTCCTCCTTGGTCGCAGCCTTTCCAGCCATGGCTGCTCTGCCTTTTCAGTCTCCTCAGGATCTCTGTAGAAGTAAAGATCAGGCATGCCCTCCCACGGGTGTTCACGGAGGTGGTGCCACGCATGTGTCAGACCCACTGAGTGAGGCCCCTTGTTGCTGCAAGGGATGGCAATGTCCACATAGTGCAGAGGAGAGTCTGTGTTACGCAGAGCAATGGTGGGCGGGTTAACATAAGACGCCTCTGTGAGAGGCCGGTGGTCAGCCCTGGGGTCAGTAACCACCAGAACCTTGGCTCCGGAAGGCTGCCTGGGTCTGGTTGGTGAAGGTTCCAAGAGTGAAGCGGCAATAGGAGCGGCTCCAGTGGCAACAGCAAGCTTCAGCGCAGCTCGCTGGCCAGGATTCCTGGACGACAGGACACTGATGTCAGCTGGGTTTTCGATGGCACAATGGCCCGGCTGCCAGCAGAAGCTCCTCCCAGGTCCTCTCCGATTGATGATGTAGGAGCCATCGCTTTTCTTCTTGTAAATGCGCTATTCCATCTGGAAGTCAAGGTTGGTGCCACCTAAGTGGGTTCCTGCTGCAAGGAATTTGAGGACACCCACCTCCTTCATTTGCAGGACATCAAGGGCACCGGACATTGTGAAAAGTTTCCCTTTCAGTTACGTGGGAGCCGAGAACAACGCCGTATGGAGCCCTCCCTGGGTAGCACGGAAAGCAAGATATCCACACTCCCCACCATTTCCATTCTATTCTGTCTGCCGCCTTTAACCCTTCCTCGCCTGCCCAGACTCAATGTGTCTTTTTCTGCCCAGGTTTTCACCCACAGTGTATCACCGGACCAGATGACAGATTTTTTTAAAGTTAATTTTTGTTTTTCCTAAAAAGTGTTTCTATTCTTAATTCAAATGGGTTAATGCCCATGATTAACTGGAAAGGTTTTTGAATCCCCACAAGGGTATTTGAATTTCACACCAAGAACCCAGAGATGACCATATGTGTATACTCCCACTTGAAATACATGCTCATGCCCTGGACATAGTTGTTGAGTGCTTTCTATACATTACCTTAATACTCACTGAAATCAATACTTCATTGGAGGTAGTACTCTCCCCAGTAGACAGATGAGAAATTAAGCAACTTGCTTATGGTCATGTGACTAGCAAATCTGGAGCCCAGAGATTCACCAGGCCGCCTGAGGGTAAACCAGTCTCTCACACCATCTGAAGTCTTAGCCAGCGGTCATACCCTACCAACAGAATCTCCACTTAGGAAGCCCTTTTTGTTCTTGCCTCAGTGCTGGCTGGCCCGGGGTATTTCATTCTAGAGTCTATGGTTATCATTTTTATCCTGAACATTTAGAAACCATCTGTTTCTTTTCCTTTTAAAAAAATGTTGGACAAGATTCACCAGCTATTTTAAAGAAATGCTTTTTCAATTTTTAAAATTAATGAAGTCAGACCAGGAAGGAGACACATTTGTTGCTTAAGGAATTGGCTGAATAAGATGGAAAAGAACAACAGCTGAGTTATTTTTGTTTGCCATTTCAGGTTTTATCTAGGAAACATTTCTGCATTCCCACAAATGATTTTTTTTTTTTTTTTTTTTTTAGTTATTAAAGATTTCTGGTCCAGATTCTATTTTAATAATATTTCCTTAAAAAAGCAAAGAACAAATAATAGCTACCTTATTTCGCCTGTGAAAAAACAGAAAGCGATGCTAGTGTGATGCTCTGTAGCTACAGCCACAGCCCTGACGGTAAGCTGTTCCACGAGGTGAAACCACGTTGCGAAGGTTAGTGGTTAAGAGGACCGGCTCTGCAGACAGACATTCACCGGAAGCTCCCACTTACCGGCCATGGACACACGACTCAACCTCTGAGCTGCTCTTTTCTCATCTGTAAAATGGGATAAGTGATCCCTAGCTCCTGCTGTGAGTTTTAAATGAGATAATATATGTAAAATGCCTAGCACAGTGCCTGGTATAAGGAAGTATAGTTATTATTGTTACAATCATGATGAAAACAAATGAAAAGTATCACCTCCACAGCAACTACCAAGAATGTACCTAAAGTTGTGCACGTATTTACATTTGTTCTCTGGAAGAAAGACTAAAATGTGAATTGCTACCAAATTTTGAGAGCATGCTAGATATAATGACATTTAACATAAAGTGCTAGAAATAACAATAAAGAATTGCCAGGACTCAAATGTAGTATGATGCATTTCAGAAATTAACTTGTGACATTGCTAATAACAAAGATGACAGATATTTATTAAAACAACATTAGGTGTCCACAAAAAGCTTAAAACTCCAAAGCAGAAACTCGAAGGCTCCTTGGAACACTGCTGAAAACAACAGAAGGAAAGGCAGAACTGTGGGAGGTGTGGCCGGTATCAGAGAGCCCCCACCATACCAAAGAAACAGGAGCAAATAAACGGTGCTGATTTTCCACAGGAAGCTTAGGAGCATGCAGAGCACACACCAGAGCCAACAAAAACTCTTAGGAATCCTCACAGGAGTACTGAGGGCACCTAAAATAAAACCAGAACCCATGGAAGACCAGCAGCTGTCAGGGAGCTCTTGTAAACACTGAAAGAACCAGAGGGACAAGTACATGATGATGATGTCCACAGAGAGCTTAGGAACACTTGAAAGCAGAATCCAGAAGGAGCATAAACTCTAAGGACACTCCGGAGACTGCGGGGAGAACTGAGGACAATGCAGACTCTGTGGAAGGAGACCTGGTTGGCAGCAAAGAGCTTGTAAAAACACCAAAGCAAGCTGTGCAGCTAGAGAGCAAGAGCATCCAGAACCCCTTACCTCCCAGGTGGACATGCAGAAAAGATGAAAACCTCACAGGTATCAACAGATTGTATAGGAACCAAGGAAAAGGCAGAACCAGTGTTAGACCCATCAGCAAAATGGGGACTCAGAAGAGAAGACAACCAACAAGAAACTTAGGACACACGGAAACCGGTTTGGCTCAGTGGATAGAGCGTCGGCCTGCGGACTGAAGGGTCCCAGGTTCAATTCCGGTCAAAGACATGTACCTTGGTTGTGGGCACATCCGCAGTAGGGAGTGTACAAGAGGCAGCTGATTGATGATTCTCTCTCATTGATGTTTCTAACTTTCTATCTCTCTTCCTCTCTGTAAAAAATCAATAAAATATATTAAAAAAAGAAACTTAGGACAGTTCCCAGGGAGAATTGTGAGTCGGTCAAACTGATAGTTAATCATGAAACTTCTGAGAACACATGTGGAAAAGGCTGAATCCATAGGCAGCCGCACAGGCCCTGCAGACAAAACACCTAAGGAAAAGAGAAATGAAGTAGGAGACTTGACAGGTGTCAGGAACCTCATGACAACCCCAAAGCAGAGATGTGAATCAGCAGAAAATCCTACAGGTGCGATAAAACTTAAGAAAAAATTCTAAGGTACATCCAGGCGAAGATCTGAAAGACATTACAATTACTTATGGCTATTCCAAATTTTGAAAATTTATTCACAGGAAAACCTTTTAGTAAGGATTCTGGTATATCAGAGAAATTACAAGACAAACTTAAAATATCTGTAATAAAAGATGTGAAAAATACTATTCAAGAAAACAAAGAGAAAAAAATATGAGAATACAGAGTGTACACAGCCTATATAATAAAAGCCTAATATGCTAAGTGTCTGACTGTTCCTTTGACTGTTTGACCAGTCGCTATGATGCGCACTGACCACCAGGTGGCAGACACTCCAACCGGTCGGTTAGCTTGTGGCTGGGATCTGGCCAATTGGGAGTGGGCGAGACCAGTCAGACATGCGCTGGAGCCTTCCCTCAATCCCTCCCCAACCCTTGTGAGGGACCCCACTAGTGCATGAATCCATGCACTGGGCTTCTAGTTTTTCAATAAAGAAATGTAGAAGGCTGTAAAAAAAAAAAAACCTTTAAAAACACCAGAAGAAAACCTGAAGTGAATAGGTATTGATACTTTATTGAAACCATTAAGAAAAAAAGAAAAATGCAATTAAAGACTTCTTGGAACCAAACACTTATGGCAGAATCCAAACAAGACACACTGTTTGGAGGTTGACTGTAGTGGACTTGAAAATTCCTCTTGTAATACTTGTGGATACTGGTATGAATCCAAAACAAATTCCCCTGAAACTCAAGATGTGTGGCCAAAGAACTTGCAAGATAGAGTTGGTCAAAGAACAAGATCTACCCTAAAAAACAAACAAAAATTTCAAGAATCTAAACATTCACCTAGTCAAATGGATAATGTGCAAAGATAAATGTAAAGAAACTGGAGCTTGCCTTAGCCAATTTGGCTCAGTGGATAGAGAGCCTGCAGACTGAAGGGTTCCAGGATTGATTCCAGTCAAGGTCATATGCTCGGGTTGTGGGTTTGATCCCCAGTATGAGATGTGTAGGAGGCAGCCGATCAATGATTCCCTTTCATCATTGATGTTTCTCTCTCTCCCTCTCCCTTCCTCTTCGAAATCAATAAAAAAAAAAAGATATTTTTAAGAAAGAAGGAAAGGAAAAAAGAAAGAGAGGGAGGGAGGAAGAGAGAGAGAGGGAGGAAGGAAGGAAGGAAGGAAGGAAGGAAGGAAGGAAGGAAGGAAGGAAGGAAGGAAGGAAAATGAAAAGAATCCTGAGAAGAGCTTCTAAGAGAAAAACTTCTGTGAAACAGAAGACAGAAACTATTACCTCAGGGAAGAAGTAAAGCTGGTATAAGTCTACAGGAATCTGGTAGCTTGGCTGGTTAAACAGGAGCTGTGCACATGGAAAAAGCTGACCAACCAATAAAGAGTTTGCAAGAAAAAAAGCTAAATCTACAACTGAAAAGAAGATACTTTTAAGACCCAGGAAAATAAAATTAATTTTGATCTGGTAAAATCTTTGAACAATAGAAGAGGAAATTCACACAGACCAAGATAAAATAGGAGTAAACCCAGAACTTTCTAATATTTTTGTCTGATGAAACAAATATAGCCAACAGAGTCCCAGAAAATAAAACTATTGACAGTTTTTCAGATAAATCGGTTGTGGGCTTGATCCCCAGTGTGGGGTGTTCAGGAGGCAGCCAATCGACGATTCTCTCTCATCATTGATGTTTCTATCTCCTTGTCCCTCTCCTTTTCCCTTCCTCTCTGAAATAAATAAAAATATATTAAAAACAAGTAATGTGAAGCTAGAGGTCTACCCAGTAAAACAGACAGCACACCCAGAGGGAGCCAAAGAGGAACCCACGCAGAGTATCTGTGGGAATGTAAAACCAGAAACCTCCAGAAGTCAGATGCAGATAGAAAACAAAGGAAACACCTTAGAAAAGACTGTTTTATCCAAAGAGCAAGCTTTGTGCAAAAGGCCAAGCAAAAACCAGAGCGGTATATCACAGCAAAGATTAACTTGGAATTCTAAGAGATGTGTTTCGGAGTTGAAGAGGGAAAATGTGATGATCTTTAGTTTCATGGCAAGCATAAATATCCTTCACAGTATAATTTTTTTGTCATAAAATAAGTGATTTCTGCAAGTAAAAAAAATTAAAATAGGTTTTGACATTTGATTATAGGCAAAATTAAAAAAAAAAAGAATTAAGACATACTTTCCAGCCCTATGGAAAATAGCATGTCTTAAAATAAAATAAAAAAATACTTTTGCAATTTTCTAGTTGCTGATTCATTCTTTGGTTGATAAAATATCTTTCCTTTGCCTACTAGTGATTAGCCTTTTTGTCAATGGATGAGAGAATGAAAAAGTAAACTCTAAACCAGTAAGGTCAGGTATAAACTTGCCAATATTCTATTGCTGATTGGTTGTCTGCAACTTACACTTTTTGAGGGATGGTTAGTGCTGGGTTGCTTAAAATAAAACAACTCATTGCTGTTTCTCTTAATCTGGAAATCCAAATTGATTATGATTTGAGATTTTTACAGAAGTCAATGCGGAATATTATATAAATCTGAACACCATACTTTGTTTGTAACGTATCAGTTTTAGCTCTGAATTGTTTCTTTAATTCCATTTGAGAGAAACCATATACATGCATTGGACAACATTAAGGTATTGCATTTTAAACTGTTGAGGCCATTTCCTTAATATTCCCTTTGGCCTTTACAATTGAATCTCGTTTTCCTTATATAGCACACCTCATGCCATTTGGCACAACTGCCAATGAATGCCATTTTCCATGGTTGAAATGCAATTAATGGCTTCTTAAAACTATCATTCTATCTCAAGATGACATTTTCCCCTTGGTTATGATATCGAATGCCAATAACAAATTGCTTTGAAGCAACTGGAGACATATATATATATATATATATATATATATATATATATATATATATATATATATATATATATGATTTAGAAAATCAATCATGTTCTCTCACATTCCAGATGGATTACCATATATCCAGGACCATTATTCCCCTTCTCACGAGAAGTCAGTGGAAGTAAAATATGCTTGAAATGTTTTCATCTGTGAATTACTTTGATAATTGAAAGCCAGGAGCAAAGGCGTAGTTAATACTGGAGAACTGATGCTCTCAGGTGGTTTTGATTAAAATGTGTACATTACTTAAGCAGCCTTGCAAAAATTATCAGTCACACACTATCCTCCACAGTGTAACACACATACAACACACACACACACACACACACACACACACACACACACACGTAAGAGAATAAGTAATTTCTACATTAGTGACTATTTTCTGCATTTCTATTTTCTGCTGATCCTATGTAATAAATAATTTCCAGGTGAGATCTGTAAAACTGAACACCCAGATACTGACCTTAGCACTTTAAAAATGCTTATATCCAGGTATTACAGCATTGTGAACACAAACATTCTGTGTATTAACATGATATATTACATCTGTGTGTATTACCATAAGACAGTTGATAATACACTAATAAAAGTTCTTCTTGAGATCTTTTTCCCCTACAAAATTATGCCTGAAAAATTGTGTCTGGTAAATCAATGAAATGCAAAATCAAACAAACCAGAAAATGCCCACAAAGTAGAGTCAAACTCATTTTTATTCAACTGAGGGATGTGAATAAAAGCTTGTGTGATGTATGGGGGGAGGAGGAAAACTTGTAATTTTAAAAATCAGGAGATCCTCATTACATGATTGGTATTACATTATAGACATTCTGAATTTTTTAGGGAAAGAAACGTTCCATAGTTCACATAGGGAAATACACTTGATCCAGATTGTGTTTTTAATAAGGTTTTGCTGTAAAGTTCAAGATGTTAGTAGCAACAACATATAGGATATACCTTATATGCTAATACTTGGATGTTTACGTTGATGTTTCAGATATAGGTGAATTTTAAGAAGTGTTTAAAATAGTGTAGTCTCAAAGGATAAATCATTTAAAAGAATATGGCAACTTTTCAGTTTGATTGGTGGGTAGTATTGATAGTCACATGTAAGTAAAATTTACACTGAGAAACATAAGTATATGCGATTATTCAGTATAACATGACTTCATTAAATCATGTACCATTATCAACTGATATTGTCTCAGCTCCTGATGCTTTTGCCAATTCCCAGCTTAAAACTGCTTTTGAATGACAAAGATACACATTTCACATTTTAATACAACAGAATACAGTCACATATCTGATAAAATTTGCACAGAGAAATATTTTAATGTTTTTCTGTTTTGATACACTTCAGAGGATTTTAAGGACAGGGTCATTAGCTTTTGAAAGTTTAGAGTAAACCATCCTCTTCTAAAACAATTCAGATTAAGATTTCACAGGATTGTCAGACTTTTTCAATCCTAAGAACAACATTTGTTTCTAGGTACACACAGGTGTGAGGTCCATGTATGTAATCTTTCTTAATGTTAATTAAGAAAAAAAACACCTCTTTTGTTTCCCTTCTTTTCATGATAATCATAAGCACTAGTAATTATATGGCATACCAGCTGTGTGTTGTACATAGACAATATGTGTATGTACATTAACATAATGCATTTTAATATCTTACCACTTGCTTAAAGGACATTTTATAGAATGGTAGAACTGACACAATGACTTTTTCTTTTCCTTAAGGAAGGTTGACTGAATCCTCCTGTAGCACGTTACTGCACAATTATGGCTTTAAACAAAGAGTTACAAGTCACTGTAAGTTCTTATGTTTTGTATCATGTTGTGGGGTGTATTCCAAATGGAAGGTGGAGGGGAAAGTGCATGGCATCGTGCTTCATGGTATGGCATATATGTATCATATAACTATGTAGTAAATGATACAATGAAGACTTAGACTACATGATGTATAGTTATTATAAAAGTTATATATTATGCCACAGTACTAAAAATAAAATTTATTCTTCTCAAATAGTGAAAATAAGGTATCCTTCACATTGTCATATGTTTCCTCATTCCATCATGCCTCCTTTTCCCCTCCCGTTGTAAATGAAGCAATGTCCAACATTTTTATTAAACAATAATCGAGAGGGTGGGCAATTTCTGGGCCGTTAAGGCCTATAAAAGATGATAAAACAATTATCTTGTCATTAACTGCAGAACTACCATCCTGATACGTTCACTACATGGTAAAAATATAAAAAATAAAAGACAAATATAAATATAGCCTCAGGTATTGAAAAAAATCGAAGTCCAACTGTATACTCTCTTACAGATAGTGGTCTTAGGATATACCTAATTCCTGCATCTTAAATCAGATACAGCAACTAACAGGAGATCACGGGTATTCGCCCACCAAATTGTGAGCCACCAGCTGTGACCATGCTTGGCCAGGAAGACGTGCGCAAGGGTTTGGGGGTTCTTCTCAAGGGAGAAGGCATTGGGTCACACCCTTCCTGCTCTTCCCCGGCTGCGGTCTCCAGCCTCAGCTCGCCCCATACCACTCCTCGCCCTCCGCCCATCCTGGGAGCCGGTGGCCTGTCCTGGAGCCGGTGGCCTATCCTGGAGGGAGGGGCAGGAGTGGCCCTCCGCCCCTTCCCCCTCGTCCCTAAGGGATGCTGCCTTTCTCCGGACGCAAAAGGGCTCAGGCGTTCTCCGGTTCGGGAGGGAAGCAGGCACTTACAGGTGAACACAATCTGCAGGCGAAGGCGGGCACCGTCCTTCCAAGTTGCGCTCTGGCCTGGTCCGCCGCCGCCGCCCCGCCGCGCGCGCGCCTAACGTTTCCATGAACCGAACGAAACGCGGGGAAACTTATGGTCGAGGGGGAGAGTGGGGGGACTCCGATCCTGTCGCCTGGCGATCGGGCGATTAGCCCCGGGGTGGCAGGCGAGGTCTGAGGCTGTCCCAGCTGCGCGCCCCCCGCGCAGCCCCCAGCCCAGCTCGGTCCTCGTGGTCCTCGACGGGGCCCCGCGGTCCCGGGCGCTCAGATGAGCGGGAAGCGGCCCTCGCCGCCGCCGCCGCCGCCGCCGCCGCCGCCGTGCTCCCCGGGGCCGCCGCCTCGAGGGCGGCCGAGCACCGACACGGGCAGCACGACCTCCCCGGGGCCGAGCTGCTGCAGCCGCATGGACTCCTCGTAGGTGGGCAGGTACTTGACCTCCTCGTAGCTGGGCAGCTGCAGGAAGGCGGGCGACACTAAGCGCAGCTCGTGCTCCGCGGCGCAGGCGGGGACCGAGAAGCCGCCGCCGCCCCGGCCCCGGCCGCCGCCGCCGCCGCCGCTGTCCAGCAGCGAGTCCTGGGAGCCCGCGGCCGCCTCGTCCCGCAGCAGCGCCGGCGAGTCGTCGTCGTCGTCGTCGTGGAGCGGCCCCGCGGCTCCCGGCGGCCCGGCGCCCCCCGGCGGCCCCGGCCGCGCCTGCCCGGGCCGCGCCTGGCCGCGCGGGTACCGGCGGGGGCTCGGGCAGATGATGCGCTGCAGGAAGTAGCCGATGGCGAAGAGGACGAGCAGGATGAGCAGCCCGGACAGCTTGCGCACGAACCAGCCCACGTTGTCCAGGAAGGCGTGCAGCGGCAGCTTGCAGCAGCGCGCGGCCGTGGCGTTGGCCGCGTCGCAGCAGCGCTCCCGCTCGCCGCACGCCAGCTCCGCGCAGCCGCCGCCGCCCCGCGAGGGCGCCACCAGCGCCAGCGCCAGCAGCAGCAGCGCCGGCGCCGCCGGGAGGCCCTCGGCCGGGACCCCGGGTGCCCACATGGCCGGGCGCGCACCGTCGCTAGTGTCCCAGACGGTGTGGGGGATCCGTCCGTCCGCCCGTCCGTCCGCGTGTCCGCCGGCCCCTCCCCGGGCTCTCGGACCCGGCCCCGCGCGCCGCTCCCTGCGGCCGGGGAGCCCTCACTCGGCCGCGCTCGGGCGGGAGGAGGAGCCCGCGGCGCGCCGGGGCTGCGGGAGGCGGCCGCTCCGCGCCGCCGCCGGGGCCGCGTCCCGAGCTTCTGACCTGAGACCCGCGCGCCCCGCCGCGGGGGCGTCCGGAGCCGCCCGAGCTGGGGCCGCAGCGGGCATATCCCGGCCCGGCCCGCGGCCCTGCCCCGCTCCCTTCCGGCGGCCCTCGGGGCCGGAAGGGTTAACGCCCCGAGCTCAGCCCCGAGCGCCCCGATCAGGATGAATGCAGCCGTCGCGTCCTCCCCTCCCGACGGGCGGACGGGCGGGCGGGCGGGGGCGCGTCCCCGCGTAGGTGTCTCCGTTTTAAGGGATTGGATTTCCCCGGGAATGTTATTTAAATGGACTCGCGACTGGGATTCGCTTACTTATCCTTATTTATTTATTTATTTATTTTTTTAAATCTTTGTGATCTTTCTGATTAAAAATGGATGGTGGCCATTAATGACTAGCGCGGCCCCGCAGCCGTCCCAGAGCCTGGGGGGCTGGGGGAGCAGGGGCCGGGGACCTCCGGGTGGCTCTGCTTTCCGGCAGATCCGAGGGGCAGGGGGGTGGGCGCCCCCAGGAGCCCTCCCGAGCGGATCACAGGATCCCCCGGGGAGGCTCGGGTCGCGGGCACCTCGGAAGGTTCCCCAGAGGGGCAGGGGCGCCCTCTGCCAAGGTGACCCGAGTTGGCCAAGGAGAGGAAAAGGGGGCGCGTATTTCCCCAGTGGCTCTCCCAGCCGCCCCGCCCCGCCCTCCTACCCCCTACTGCACCGGGGGTGGGGGTGGGGGGGGCACGGAGCGGGGATTCGGATCGGGGTAGAAGGAGGCCCCTCTTTCCCGCGTAAATAACACCTCTGTGAAATGTCAAAGGGGAGTTGTAAGTGGTTGGCGACATCCCTGAGCATTGATCTGCGTCTGAAGGGTCTTTTTTCAAGGTTATTCTTATCCGCGAAGCTTGCCTTTAAAAGGAGAGCCTGTGCTCCCGCTGAGCACAGGGGGGCGGAGTACCCTTTCCCTGAGCCTCCACCCCCAGCGACAGCCCCTCGATGCCCGAGGCTGGAAAGACGGCGAGGCGGAGCACCTCTGCGCGGGGGTGGCCCTCCGCAGCCCCTTAGAGCTACCCGGCGGGCAAGCAGGAGCTTGCACTGTTACTGAGGAGGACGGAGACAGACAACCATCCTTGTAGGATGAGCGTTTATCCATTCCTCCAAACCCCTTAAGTACTAGGACCCTTATAGAGAAACCAAACAGGAAATTCCACAGTCCCTGAGAGAGAGAAAAAAAAAAAGCAGAGGAAAAAATATAGACACAAGATTCAACTGTAGGTCAGAAAAAAGTAAAGATTTCCCTTAGAGAAAGTCACACTGTGCCTCCCTCATAACCTTATGGACCAAGGTGAGGGGTGGTGGTTTGCCTCGGCTGAATGGGGACATTTAAGATTTTAAAATATTTCTGCTTTTGGGAACCTTACTGTGCCTCCCAGTCCAAAACAGTCCTTTCTCCTCCGGGAGGAACTCCTCAGTGTCTCAGACAAGATAGCTTCATGTGCAGCTCAGCCAGTGAGCACAGGTCCTTCTTGCTCAGCTGCCCAACTCGGTGCCACGGTCTGTTTCTCTGTAAGGGAGGCTAGACTTGTTGTGCATTGCCTGATTAATAAGCGTTTTCAAACTGGGGTAAGATAACAGGATGGGAATGACTCATTTTACAACAATGAAAATGGTGTTATTCTTCCATTCACCCATCCTTTGGCCAGATTTACACTAAACATTTTCTGTTCCTGAGGTAAAGACAGGTTTGTACTCCCAGCTGCTGCTGAGTGGAGTCAAGGAGATTCCAGAGAGGGAGGCAAAGGGCCCTGGGTTCTGTGATCCTGGCTTGTTCTTACTTTCTTTCCCAGAGGAAAAAGAAAGTTCTTGAGTTTCAAACAATCCCAAGGATGGAGGCAGCTCATAGCCTGAGATGGGCTTTAAGTATAAAGTTGAAAATATATAAAGAACTCTTTTGGGTTTTTATAAACTGACCCTTTAGGGTTTCTGCCAGTAATAGTGGGAACAATGACAAAGGGGGAGTTGCATGGCTGACGATGCGTAGGAAAAAGTGCCCTGCATACTGTTATTTTGAAATTACTAAGCAGCATTTAAACAGTCTCATTTCTGTCTGCCTTTACGGATTAGCATTTGTTTGTAGGCTACTGGGATGCAGAACAACATAGATCTTCTATAAAATAAAACCTTGGCAGAGTTCTATAAAAGCAGAGAAAAGGATGAGGTCTTCAAAATAAGTAGGGAAAGGATTTTTATTTGATTTTTTTTTTCTTTCCAAATTGATAGCCCCAAAGCATCATCCATTAAGGGCCCACTACAGAAACCGGCGCCTCCTTATTTCCTCTCCGATCGCCCAGTCTCACTTAATTCATTTTTATTTGTAATGTAACTTATTGTGTACCATCTTTTTGAAGGAAGGAAAAGAAACCTTATATCTTTAAAAGCCCCAGAAAGACATGAGCTTCATTACTCAGCGTTCTTATCCTTTATATTTTGTTTAATGCATGAGTGGGGGGCACTTAGCTCCCAGAAAGCCATAAATTCAAGCTACTTAGTAAGGAGAACGGAATTTAATCATATGCTCTATAGAATAATTGAATGATAAGAAAGACCACGATGTAAAAATAAAGAGAAACTTTATTTTTTTTTAAATTGGCACCAAATAGTGCTTAAATACGTGTGTGCAAGAGAAAAACAGATGGGAGATGGGGACTGACTTTTATCCAAAAAGCATGGTGTCTTGGAAGTATAGCTGGGTAAAAATTAGAAGCATTCACTGCTTTATCTTGCTATAGTGCTTGACTAATATTTTTTGAAGATTTTATCTCCCTTATTTACACTCATATGAATGAATGCCTACTGAGCCACTTTTCAACTTTTTAGAAGAGAAGTAAATAGAATATAACAAAACGGGCTGCTGTATACCCGTGCTTCTGGGAGCTGCCTGAGAGCGTGGGAAAGCCTGGGAGACCCCATCATGCAACTTCCTGTTCTATCGCATGACACCTGGTCCTGGGGGAATTTCTCTCTGAAGTCCCCTGCCTGTGAACTCGGACCTTCAAGCCTGGGGAGCAACAGCTCTGCCCATTTTCTTCAAAATGTCTAAACACGGGCTCTTGGGTCCTTGTAAACAAGCTAGTCCATGAGAACCCATCGAGTCCACGGGAACCCCTAATTCGGGGTGTACAGCACATCCTGTCACTGCTAATTTGGTGTTAAAGTTGATCTATCATCCTCCTCACCTTAGATTTCCTTTCATTTCCCGTGTGTCTTCCCTGAGCAACAATAAATTAAGGGTATTCTTGTAACTAGCATATGTGTGCATAAATGTGCCTTACCCAGAAATGGTTTGTGATCTGAAATCATCTTTTTAAAGTTCTTTTCAGATCGGATTTCTTTCCTCAGTCATTGAATAAATATTTAACGAAGGCCCACTCGGCGAGCATTCTGCTCTCTTCAGGGGATGCTGTGAAACCGAACTGTTCCCTGTACATGGGGGACACAACTATGATCCATGATTGTAAAGAAGTGCAGGGTCGCTGAAACCGGTTTGGCTCAATGGATAGAGCGTCGGCTTGGGGTTCGATTCCGGTCAAGGGCATGTACCTTGGTTGCGGGCATATCCCCAGTAGGGGGTGTGCAAGAGGCAGCTGATCGATGACTCTCTCATCGATGTTTCTAACTCTCTCTCTCTCTCTCTCTCTCTCTCCCTCTCTCTCTCTCTCTCTCTCTCTCCCTCTCTGTACAAAATCAATAAAATATATTAAAAAAAAAAAAAAAAAAAAGAAGAAGAAGAAGAAGTGCAGGGTCGCCTGGCCTGCGTGGTTCAGTGGTTGAGCGTTGACCTATGAACCAGGAGGTCACAGTTCAATTCCCGGTCAGGGCATAGGCCCAGGTAGTGGGCTCCATCCTCACTGTGGAGTGTACGGGAGGCAGCCAATCAATGGTTCTCTCTCATCACTGATGTTTCTATCTCTCTAGCTCTCTCCCTTCTGCTGGAAACCAAATCAGTTTCACTGAAAAAGAGATGTTGACAGGAAGCCAGGAAGGCTGGTCAACAACCTTAATTGCTCTAACCTTTAGTTGAGATATTATTAGCTGAAGCAGAATCTACCTTGTCCGTGAAAGTTTGTTATTTCCTGCCTAAGGGCTACATGTAAATTTCTGTTTATGTTGCTTAAGATGTTTTCCCCAAAGCATCAATAAAAGGGGATGGCAGGGCCAGAGCAGGAGTAGTTCTCCCACTAGAGTTGGACTACCGCCTGGCCCCCCAAATCGCCAAATTGAATTTCTTCAAGTCTCTTCATTTGTGTGCGGCCCTTCTCCAGAAGCTGAACCCTGAATTGGAACTCTTTCTACGCGGCCGTGAAAGAGAGTCCTATACCCTTCCTCTCTGAAATCAACAAAATATATATATTAAAAAAAAAAGTGCAGGGTCCTCTGAGTTTTTACACTGGGTATGATTTGGACAGCGGAGAGATGGGGTGTCCGCTGGAAAGACCTCCCTGAGAAAGTGCTCCTTAAGAAAGGAGCAGTTGAGGAGGAAGGCTCCAGGCAGAGCAAAGGTCACAGAACAAGTCCCTGGAGTGGGAAGGCCCTCGTGTAGCATCTCTTACATTTGGGGCAAAACCTGTGTCATTTCCACCTCAGCCATTGAGACTCTCTTCTAGGTTAGCTTTAAGTAGAGTCAAGCTGAGAGGGCAGGACAGGGTTAACTTGACAGGGCTAACTCCTGACTCCATTTTGTTCTGTATCCTCCTTTTTGTATAACTATGTCACTGTGTAGCTGGACCCTAGCCCTCACCCAACCAATCGGGGGCAGCCAAAACAGTGTGACCTCACCATCCATCCCCCAGACCCCTATAAATTCTTTGTTCTGTAGGAGCCCACTCTCTCTCTCCACCGCTGCATCAGTGTACATGAGATGGAGCTCGGGCTAGCCTGAATAAAAGGCTCTTTGCTTTTGCATCGGACACAGCTCCCTGGTGGTCTTTGGGGATCACGAAATCTGGGCATAACAAAGCCATCCCTGCTGTTGTTCTATTTTAAACCAAACCTGGTTCTCTCCAAGGCTCTGTCATGGGCTGCACGTCACACAGTTACCGCTGCGCTTGCTGAGTTTCCCCCCTCGGAGACGAGGAACGTGTTCAACACTTCCTGTCTCTCCATCCCCACACCCCCTCTTTGCAGTGGAGTTTGGATTTCCTTTCAAACTCTCTGAACTGGCAGCTTGGTGACCAACGGCCTCTTCCAGCCAAATGCTTGAGCGAGAGGAAAGTCAACATGAGATGGTTTGTGTCTTTTGTTCAACGTCGGCACAAAAGGAAGCACGCGTGAAGTGAGAAACAAAAGGCTGAGTGCGCTCAGGCCCATATTATTTTCGTAGTGTGATAAAATGCAGACACGACTCTACGAAAATAACATAGCCGTTTGTGTTCGGGCTTTCAGCCTTGCACAGTCCTGACACATCCGTGGTCTTGTTCTCTCCTTACTGCGTTCCCGTGAGGTGAGTTGGAAGTTGTTATCATCCCTTTCTCCAGCTGCAGAGGTCAAAGCACCCGAACCACGGTGCACACCGGGGGCAGCACAGACACAGGAATCCGCCCGAGGCTGCGGATCTGCGTCCAGTTCAGACGGGTGGGCACGCACCTCACCCGCTCACCGCCTGGGGCTGGGCCCCAGGGACCCTGGGGAGGAGGCTCTTGTCTCCCCTCTGACAGTGTCTGATGCATTAAGAGGCCAATTAGAAGCAAAACGTCTGAGACTGGAGCTGGGCTCTGTTCTGGATCATGAATACGAGATTTTCCTGAGGAAATAAAGCTCATATTTCTGTCATTCTGTGGCCACTGTCGGTAACCCATTAACAATGGCTTAGGTAATAATGTGCCAGGCCAACTATTTCTGTATGCATTTCTGCAAACAAAAGATAAATGTCCCTCCTTTGTTATATTCCATTCTTTATACATGAACTAAGCCATCTGATGCTTCTCAATATTCTCAAGGTATATGCCTGGAGAAATAAGGATATATTAGGGGCCTGAGAAAAATGAATATACGGTATTATTTACCAGTGGTTTCTATATTTGTGTTGCTTTGTAATAAGTTATCAGTTTATTCCTCCTAGCAGACATTCTCTTTATTTCTGCAGATATGAAAACCAAACCGTATATATTATGAGACACATTTAGTGAGGCCATTTAAAGAAGATCTGAAATGAGAATTCCAGTTATATCAGTTGAATTAAATTTTTTTTCTCACTCATGCTTTTTTAAAGGGTCAGATTGTTTTCCTTAGAATGTATTTATTCATCAGTAGGCTCACGTTGGCAGAAAAATTAGCATGAAATTATTTCATCAGGTGAAATAATTTTATAAGGGGAAACACTTTTACACTACATTGTTTAAACTTGAGACTAGCCATGTACTCCTTTCCTCCCATTCGTTATGAGGGGAAATGGATTGCTCACACCTTGCTCCTGGTGCTCCCTGTGAACGTGGGGGAGTAAGAGGAGCCTGCGCTTGCTCAGCATCTTGCCCACGACTTTCTAGTCAAGGGCAGTCATGACTCAGCCAGCCATTAGTCCCAGAGCAGGGCTGTGGTCCATCTACCCAGCATGCTCCTTTTTTTTTTTTTTTTTTTTTTAAATCCTCTCCCAAGGATATTTTTCCATTGATTTTTAGAGAGAGTGGAGGAGAGAGGGAAAAACAGAGAGAAATCTCGATGTGAGAGAAACACATCGATTGGTTGCCTCCTGCATGAGCCCCAACCAGGGCCCGACCGGTGAGGAACCTGCAACCAGGTAAGTGTCCTTGATCAGAATCAAACCCGGGACCCTTTGGTCCACAGGCCAACGCTCTATCCACTGAGCAACACTGGCTAGGATGCCCCAGCATTCTCCTTTTAACATTGGATGACATGGAATACCTGTCTTCTAAGACACTTGCCTTAAGAGATTGTGAATATATGCATAACCCACAGACACAGACAACAATGTGGGGATGGATGACCTGAGGGAAGGGAGTCTGGGGGCGGGGTGGAAGTGGGCAAAGCCGGGGATGGGGGTGGGGTTTATTGTTATTACATCTGTAATAACAATAAAAATAAAATTAAAAAATAAAGTTATTTCTAAAGGTAAAAAAAGAAGATTGTGAATCTAGCCAAATGTCCAAAATTTCCCTTAACTATTTTCATTGTAGATTTAACGGTGATTGTACCTTTTAGGTACAATCATAACATTCTTTTTCGTCTTTATTCTCCACTCCTTTCTCCTTGCACCCTCACTTCAGTGAAGGACTACCTGATACAGCTACCAACCCCCTGACTTAGAGAACCCTCCCCTCCCCTCCTCTCCCCCCTCCCCTCCCCCTTTTATTGGTCAAAACCACATAAGACACAACTTCAATGTTGCCTCCTTTCCAAAACCTCATGCATCTCCAAGAACACCTTCCCCAGATGGAAGTCATCTCTCCCTCTTCTTGGAATGCCTTTCACACCCGTCTCCCATGTGTGGCGATTCTCATTTTCTACCTCCTTTCAGGTGGTTCTGTTTACGTCTTAATCAGGGTTTCCAGAAATGAGCTCATGGCAGTGGGTTTGCGTCTGTGTTTCTGCCGAGCAGCTGCTCTCCATCCTCCTGTGTACTGGCCCCCTTTGGACCACTGGGGGAGGCCCACCGAAGGGTTCCCCTGGAGGCAGGGTACACCTCCACCCGTTGCTGTGTGGTTGTTGGAATCCAACCCCTCCCTGCCTGCCTGAGCTCTGTAAGAAACTCTGAGGCCAAGCTCTCCCCTGTTCCTGCCCGCGTGCCGGCCTCTGTCGTCTGATTCGCGGTTGGTCAGTCCGCTTGCCTCCTGCAGCCCAGGACCTCCTGAGTCCCAGGACCCACTCTGGTCATGTCCCGGGGAACAGGCCTCACCGCACCCGTGTGGGCTCAGCTGGGACGCAAGGAGCTGCTCAGGGCTGGGAGCGCAGCTTGAAGAGCGTGCAGGACTCCAGGACACCAAGGCCACCGGGTGCAGGGACCTCGCCTCCCTCGGCAGGTACCGTAAGTGCTGTGTGCACTTCATGGAATTATCTTACCCAGTTTTCCGGCTCTGTTTCTGTTTTCAACATGTCTTCTTCTCTTGAGTAAAAAATTTCATGGTTTTGCAGAATGAGGCATTTGATGATCTATATATTCTCCCCCCCCCCCCCCAAGTATAAAGAGGACCTCTTCCTCGTTACAGTGACCAAGAACTTAGAGAACAAGCTAAATAAATAAAGGCTTCCTGAAGCCCATTTGCTCCAGCTACTGGAAGACAGAATTCTCGTATTTAAACTAGAAGTACTTGGGCATTTTATTTTATTATATATATTTCAGAGAGGAAGGGAGAGCTGAGAAAGGGATAAAAACATCAAGGATGAGAGACAATCTTTGGATTGGCTGTCTCCTGCAGGCCCTGGCACATGCCCTTGACCAGAATCAAACCCGGGACTCTTCAGTCCACAGGCTCTATCCACTGAGCCAAACCAGCGAGGGCAGGGTTTTGGTTTTTATTTATTTTTAATTTTTTAAAGATATTTTTATTGATTTTTTTTTTTTTTTTTTTTTTTTTTTTTTTTTTTTTTTTACAGAGGGAGAGGGATAGAGAGTTAGAAACATCGATCAGCTGCCTCCTACACTAGGGATGTGTCCGCAACCAAGGTACATGCCCCTGACTGGAATGGAACCTGGAACCCTTCAGTCCACAGGCCAACCAGTCAGGACAGGATTTTGGTTTTTAGATCATTCTTCAGCCTTTGCAGCTCCGCCCTGTATCACAGGACAGTGGGTCATAGGTGGCATTTCGGTGGCATTTCCCAGTTCTCAGGAGTCTGGATGGTTCAGCAGTGGGGGGGAGTGGGGGGGAGTGGTCTGCAGAGGGTAACCCAGCCACCAGGCTCCCAGGAGAACACTTCCCCTTCCCACTGTTGCTAATCTCCAGGCGGCTTTCCCATCACCTGGGGGTTCTTAGCTCTTCCTGAGTACTCCGTTCCTTGTGTTTAATTTAATTCTCTTTGTTTTAGATACTCAGAGTGTATCTGGTTGTTTTCTGGTTGGTCCTTAACACATTGCCCCTGAAGCACCTTCTGCAGCTCTAGGGGCACAAAGATAACACGTTGTCCGGTTCCTCAACTTCTACAGATTGAATTAAACAGTGCTCTCCTCTCTGTTGCCTAAGACTAGTCCCATTTCTCCCACCCATCCACATGGAAAAGTTGGCTTCAATGGCCAGTGACTGCAAACAGCGTTAGCATTGCCATTATGAGCATGGATACACTCTCTGGGTCTGTATGTCTTCACCTGTAAAATGAAGGGTACAATAACACCCACCTCACAGAACTGTTGTATTGAATACATAGAAAGGACTGAGAGCACTGCTTGGCACAGTGAGAGTTCTGTATGTATTAGCCATTATTCTTCAGCCCCAAAGAGTGCACTATCTTTTCTCGTCTGTAAGTTTGATTCTGAAAATGACAAGGTACAAAGCTAATTTGTTTTGGGGTTCTCATGACTTTATTAGATTTGTAACTTGTCTTTCCTGAATCAGCCAATGACAAATGGAACCCATTAACTTTGTAGAATTTAATATTTGGCCCTGAGCTTTGTCACTGGCAGTGCTATCAAAATTAGTCCCATAAATTTGTTACTGCCTTTTGGAAAATGGTTATTAGCATTTTGGCTCTTATGAAGTTCTCCCTTTTGAATGATTTCTTTTATAATTCAGTAAAAAAGAAAAAAAAGAAAAAGAAAAAGCCTTGTTTTCCTTATGAACCTGCTATAGTTTTTTTGTTTGTTTGTTTTTTATCATAATAACTATGTAAATGACCATAAACCCCCCCCCCCCCTTTTTTTTTTGCTTTGGTTGCTGGGGAACTCACAACTAAAGTTGAAGTTAATTATGTTTGTGCCAGCCCACCTTCCCCCATTTATGTTTCTTCTTTAAGATGACCTTGATTTCTTAATTCAATTTATTTTTGTTTACTTTTCTGTTCATATTTCCCCATTTATAATAGTAAATTATAGCAGAGTCTTTGTGGAATAAGATGTGACATACAAAAGTGGGACTACATTTTTGGGGGATTTTTAGAGTATATTGTAAATTTTCCATCATGTTATTCTGCATCATCAAATGTTTTCAGAAATTAATCTCAAGGTAAAAATTATAGTCTTAGGTAGCTCTATTTCTCAGCATGAACTGTCTTGGGAGGTTGAAGTGGTTTTGGTCACATGCCTCCGTCATCTTTATTTCAGAATCAATTATAGTAATCTTTACCAAAGTCTGATTAAAAAAAAAAAGAATAAAGTGAAAGGGATAAGAATTTTTTAATGACATGCTTAGGAAACTAAAGTAATTACTTTTGAGTGCTTTCCCATATATACATTTCAAACAGGAGGCATAATTTTATTAAGATTGACAAGCCTAATCCATAATTAAAGCAGTTCAGAAAGGTATTTAACAGTGATTTACTTTTTCTTAAATCTGAACAAAATGGATACTGCTAAGGGAAGCATCTAACACTACAGCGTTCTGGCTGCCTGATTTTGTTTGGTCCCAGAGGGTACAGTGTGCCGGCCACAGAATCCCACATTGCACTGTTCGTGTGGACATTTATTCCGCAAAGCTGACATTCCTCTTCCAGCACTCCTATAATAACCAGAACCACAAGCTAGCATTTGCTTTATGCTTAACATTTTCAAAATGCTTACACATATGCTGTCTTGTTTGTTATAACAACAAGATGGACCAGGAAAGTATTAGACAGGACAGTTCTGCTGGGTGCTTAGAAATTCAAGCCATGGAGACAGGGGTTTAGTTCTGTGACCTTGGACAGGTCACACAAGGGCTCCAGACCTGCTTGCTCCTCTAAAAAAATGGAAGTAAAAATAGAATATAATTTATTAGATTATGTGAACATTAAATAAAATCATCCAAAGTGCTTGATGCCTTGCAAATGCTCAGTGGGTACATTATTTTAAAGATTGTAGAAGAAAATGAGACTCAAGAACAGTGACTTGTTCAAGGTTGCAGAAAAAGTTAGGGCGAGCATTTGAGCCTTGATTTTTTTTTCTTTTTTAAAAAAAAAAAATTCTCACTTAAGGATATTTTTTTCCACTGATGTTTTTAGAGAGTGGAAGAGAGAGGGAACGACAGAGAAACATTAATGTGAGAGAAACACATAGATTGGTTGCCTCCTGAATGCACCCAGATCAGGAGCCTACAACCAAGGTAGGTGCCCTTAACAGGAATCGAACCCTGGACTCTTCAGTCCATAGGCTGACACCCTAGCTACTGAGTATATATATAATTTATTTATTTATTTATTTTTACAGCAAAGTTTATTTAGAAAGTCACAGAACTTTGATCTTTTATTTCCAGGAGGGAAACCATAAAGAGCCCTGTGTTTGTGTGTGTGTGTGTTTGGGTGGGGGGGGGGGGGGGGGAAGAAAAGCGCTGCCCGCCTGGTAGTGCCCTGCGTTCCAGTTGAACAAGGCCCTTGCACGTGACCTACCACAGCGTCCGTAGAGAGGGTGTGTGGATGGTCAAAAGTGCACACATTTTTTGTTTTTAAAAATATATATATTTCATTGATTTTTTACAGAGAGGAAGGGAGAGGGATAAAGAGTTAGAAACATCGATGAGAGAGAAACATTAATCAGCTAACTCCTGCACACTCTCCATTGGGTATGTGCCAGAAACCAAGGTACCAGGCCTTGACCAGAATCGAACATGGGACCCTTCAGTTCGCAGGCCAATGCTCTATCCACTGAGCCAAACTGGTCAAGGCACGAGTTTTATTTATTTATTTTTAAATGTTTGCTATCTTCTTTATTTTTTATATTTTATTTATTTTTTAAAGAGAGAAAGAGAGGGGGACAGAGAGTTAGAAACATCGATGGGAGAGAAACATCCATCAGTTGCCTCCTGCACACCCCTGGGTATGTGCCTTCAGCCAGAACTAAACCTGGGACCCTTGAGTCCACAGGCCAACTCTCTATCCACTGAGCCAAACGGGTCAGGGCAAAAAGTGCACAAGTTTTAGAATTATGCAGATATGAGTTCAAATCCAGGGCTGCCACTTATTTGCTCTGCAGAATTGGGATAACATTCCTCTTTTCAGAATCACTGTGAGGAGAGTGAGGCGCTGCATGTAAAGTGGCCCAAACTGGTAACCTCTCAGTAATGCTGTCAATTGTTGAGAAGCCACGTGGGATCAGGGGGCCTCTGCACCAATCTGGACAGCACAGCATTTTGAATGGCCCAATTCGCACCCAATAGGGTGGAGACTTAGGCTCATCATATTTTATTTTTCTACCCAGAAACAAAGCAAGAGATAGGCTTTCTCATCCCATTATTTTTTTTTACAACCTTGTTTATAAAGTTTATCTGCATAATCCAAAATAAAATATTAAAGCTCCTTAATAGGCTCTCAGAAGTAACATTTTGGCAAGCTCTTCTGAGCGTGTTTACTGCATTTTGGGTTTATAGTTACAGTAAGTCAATATGTCATTTTAGATAGTATTTGGAGTTGACGCTTCAATATTAGATGCTCGAAAGAACATCAGAGAGCCCTAGCTGGTTCAGTGGATAGAGTATGGTTGGCCTGTGGACCAAAACGTCTGGGTTCAATTCCGGTCAAGGGCACATACCTTGGTTGCAGGCTCCTCCTGGGCCTGCAGGAGGCAACCAATCAATGTGTTTCTCTTACATGGATGTTTCTCTTGGTCTTTCCCCCTCTCTTCCATTCTCCCAAAAAACCAATGGAAAAATATTCTCCCGTGAGGATTAACAAAACAAAACAATCAAACAAAAGAATATCAGAGAATGGAATGTTCTGATATGTTCAGTAGTTCCCCCCTTTATCTGCAGGGGATACATTCCAAGACCCTTCAGTGCATGCCTGAGACCACAGATATTGCTGAACCCTATACATACTATCATTTTGCCTGTACGTACACACCTTTGATAAAGTTCAATTTGTAATTAGGTACAGTAAGAGATTAACAATAACGACTAATAAAAATAGAACATTTATGCCCTAACCGGTTTGGCTCAGTGGATAGAGCATCGGCCTGCGGACTGAAGGGTCCCAGGTTCAATTCCAGTCAAGGGCATGTACCTTGTTTGTGGGCACATACCCAGTGGGGAGTGTGCAGGAGTCAGCTGATAGATGTTTCTCACTCATCAATATTTCTAACTCTCTGTCCCTCTCCCCTTCCTCTCTGTAAAAAAAAAAAAATCAAAATATATATTTTTAAAATAGAACAATTATAACAAAATTCTATAATAAAAATTATACAAACGTGGTCTCTCTCAGCAAATGAGCATAGATTTCTTTTTTCCTTCTTCATAATTTCACGGATAGATGATTTGACCTTAGCAACAACCTCGGTGTACAATTTTTCCCCCTCTTCTCATTAAGTTGAAAACTTTCACCTCTTTACTTTAAAGGAAGCACTTTCTGGCTCCTCTTTGTCTTATCTGTAATGCCAGCACCACTACTCTGGGGCTTTGAGGTCATTATTAAGTAAAATAAGGGTTACCTGAGCACAGCACTGGCACCGGAGGCCGCAGCTGCGGATCTGATAACGGAGATGGCCACAGAGCAGCTAGCAGCAGGGCCATGGAGACAGAGGGATGACTCACGTCCTGGGCAGTGCCTAGCGTTAGTGCTGGGCCTTGAGATGGGGCGCTGAGGGTGATGCTGATTTAGGGGAAATGGCAGCTTTTCTGAGGGGCTGTGAGTTGTTGGGAAGGCTGAGAACCTTGCCTCACGATTCCACCTTTGACTCTGAGACTCAGTTTTCATTTCTGTGAAACGAGAGAGCTGGGGTTGGTCTGTGGCTCTGCACTTCTCTGGAGCCATGGTCCCCTGGGGACTCGTGGGATACTAGGACTCGTCTCCCAGAAAGATGCACATGAGCATATGCACCCCCAAGTCCACAGGCAAGCCCCGGGGGAGATGGTGTCCCCGACATTCTAGCCTGATGTCTCTGAACATTCTGAGATTCTGTGGAATCAGTGGAAAGGAACAGCCCGGTACTTCAGTTCTGGGAAGGGAATGAAGAAGTTTACCATCTTTGAGGACTCCGTGGCTGCTTGTCACATGCTGCAAAGAACACCTTTAATTTAATGTAATTCATCTGGTTAATTAAATAACCCTGATTTGATCTCGGGGTGGAGAAATGAGCAATTTATTCGCAGCCTGTAGATTCGAAAAAAAGCTGAGAGTTGATACTTGATTTATGAAGAAAAGGAAAAGTCTTATTTATCTTTAAGTTTTCATTCTGTATTTTTTGGCAATGTTAGAACAGGAAGCAGCCAATCAGAACGCTGGAGCTGTTTGGTAGTAATTATCCTTCATCTGCTAATTTCTAAGCAGGGAAAAGAAAAGTGATTAAAATGAGTTTCCGCACAGCTGTTGATTAGGCATAATGGCAAAGTAATCACCATAAAGTTAATAATCAGAGCAGAGCTCACATTTAGAAAGTTATTGTTTAGTAACCAGAAGGCTCTAAATACCAAAAAAACAAAAAACAAAAAAATCCAACTAACTAGAAAATCCCACCCCCAAAATGTTATCTTTTTGTTTGCCATTCCACATCAACTAAACAGAGAAAATGAAAAGCAGTTAATTACATCCATGTTGAGGTCAACTTTCAACAGGTCAAACCTCTGGGATAAACAAACCACAGTATTGAAAGCTTGTTGGAAAAAATTGATAAATAAACAGCTTTCATGTTAGGAAAAGTTGCAACACATCAGGAAATCCTAAACAAGCCTTGCGCTTTGATTAGCTCTGTCGCCTGCCCTCCCTCCCTCCCTCATACGTGTTCCCATTCTGCGGGGCAGTGTGCCCGTGGCTGGTGATGCTGCGTTTGGACACTATCGTAGATCTTGCCGGGGAAGCTTTTGTAATTGTGCAGCTCCCATTGGAAAACAGAGATTAATGAGCTCACAAGCGGGGCAGGGTGTAATTTCAAATCTCGGTGATGATAACAAGGAGCTATTTAGGATGCCTGGTTGCAGAATCACTGTTTTCCTTACATTTCATCATCCAGAAGTCTGAATTTGGTGACATCAATGGAAAATTGGGCTCATGTGGCGGTGCTCCAAACATTGGAGGAGCAAATGGGGTTCTTGGTGCATCTTTCACTGTGATCCTCCTGATTGAAGACCACTGGACAAGGTCGGTTAGGATTCCAACCACAACCTGTTGCAAATCACAAGAAGAAGATGAATGTATACTAGGGAGGCTTGCTGAGATGCCCCGTGGTAGGGAACATTGTGGCTCAAGGACATAGATGTTTGAGTTCTCAACGTCCTCTATTGTTTTCTTTCTACGTTTGCCTTTTCTTAGTTCTTTTTCTTACATTCCTTAGAATTCCCTCCCACCACTCTGGGAGAAAGCCCTGGATTTCCTCTCCCAGACGAGCAGCCTATCTCCCATGATGTCACTCTGGGCAAAATTTCTCAACATAATATTTTTTTTTCCTTTAAAAATAATAAATGTGCACTTTTATAAAGCCACTGAGCCTCATACTCTGGCCAACCACTGCTGTGAGACCATCCAGATGCTCTGACATGCAATTTTATATTTTTAATAGCTGGCGGCTGAATATGGGTTGCAAAATTATCTTTCCCCTTTCCCCTCATAAAAGCATGAAAACGCATCCATCTTAATTTCTCAGTAAATAGCAGCCTTCTCATGTGGGTGAACTTCCCACATATTCAAGCTAGTGCTTTGCAAAGGCATTCCCCTTCAAGGCTCTGCTTCTGGGAAACTCCAAATCTCAGAGCTGTGAATGCTGGTCACTCCCACAGGAGAAGAGGCATGGTCAAATATTTGAGACTTGTGTTGAGAACTAGGAGTTGTCTAGATTGTCCTCCTGGGATCATTTTGAGGAAAAACAGTAAGATGTAGAAGTTCTGACCGGGAGTAGCATAAACAAAGGTGAAAAGTTGATGAAAATGATGGTGGGCTCCGAGTTAGCATGGGATAGGCATGGGGCTCTCTTGATCAACAATATTGATCAGTATTTTTCCTCAGTTCTGCACAAGTGTGAGCTCCTTAGTCTTCTCTGGGTTATAATTGAAGCCAGTCATCATGGTTCCCCAGGCCTTCCCCATTCTGGGTTCCAAAAAGATGGTGCACAACT